CCCATAGGAAAAAAATCAATATTTGTCGATCGAATTTTGTATTGTTTGTTGGCACATCACAAGTCTCAAAATATTCTATCGATGAGAGTATCCGAAAATGTGAGTACTTATTGATTCGAATCGCATATTATATTGATTCATCAAGCTCAGTACCAGTACTGGCAATGATTGGATTGAAGGTTATTTTATTTTTGTTATATACACATACCGGCAAAAAAACCGGCCAGCATATAAATTAGCCAAATGTTGGTGATGTTGCGACCAAATCGTTGATCATGTTTCGAAATGTTAACCTGGATTTTGGATCACACAAGAAGCTGATAGCTTGTTCCTTATAAGTACAGGAAATAACAATAATTAGTATTTGACTCTTTAGCGCCCTGTGGCGAACGTGAGTGATTAACTCAGCTTCATAATGTGATCCCTTCTTTTTACAATGGTTTGTATTTATTTGAGAACCAAAATTCCGGTTAACATTTCGAAGCATTTCATGATTTTGTCGGAATTCCACCCAAATCAAATGAGACTTAAGAAAGTTACAGGGCGAACTTTTAGCAGGCCGGTTTTTTCTGCAGGTGAGTTTATATTCCTTTTTTTTTCAAAACTACTCGTTCAACTCTTCACCATTATCAATGGTACATCCTTCATTGAACTGGAAAAATGTGGAAATCCTACAGAGTGACCCATTTGAAAGCGGGACACCCCTGTATCTCACGTAATCGTTGGGTAAGGATCATGAAATTTGCTGGAGCGAGATATATACCAAAAATGCACTCTATAACCAAGTGGGGTCATCTTCAGTGATATGCACTGCTCGCCAACAGCCATGGAACCACCCCAATTTCCTGAAAATGATATTAGGAGTCAAAATAGGTTGAAAATCACTTCGGATTCGGAATCAGGACGCCCAATTCACTAACTATTCATATTTTTCCTTGGAAATTTTCAGTTCTGAAACATTAAATTTTGTCGCACTTTTCATGGAAGCACCCCCGTATCTCACGTAATTATTGAGGTAGGGTTCTAAAATTTGCAGGAGGAACGGAAAGTCCAAAGATAAAGTCAATTACGTGAGATACGGGGGTGCTTCCGTGAAAAGTGCGACAAAATTTAATTTTTCAGAACTGAAAATTTTCAAGGAAAAATATGAAGAGTTAGTAAATTGGGCGTTGATTCCGAATCCGAAGTGATTTTCAACCTATTTTGACTCCTAATATCATTTTCCAGAAATTGGGGTGGTTCCATGGCTGTTGGCGAGCAGTGTATATCACTGAAGATGACCCCACTTGGTCATAGAGTGCATTTTTGGTATATCTCTCGCTCCAGCAAATTTCATGATCCTTACCCAACGATTACGTGAGATACAGGGGTGGCCCGCTTTCAAATGGGTCACTCTGTATATATATGTTTGTATGTATAAACTATATATTCATTTCTTCAGTTTTTCGAGATTTTCTCTCTCGTTTCTCTTTAGTTGACAAAAAAAGAGCAAATAATTGTCAAAATTTTGTATTTCGGCTATGAAGCCATCATCAGAGTTAACCTATAAGTAAGTAATCATCTCTTAGCTTTAGAAAAAGACATAAGCATGCTATTAAGAACATGAAAATAATAAATTCAATATCATTTAGTGAAACCATTCTGTTACTCACTTGTTTGCATTGATATCTGTTACTGTTGAGGAATTTGATATTTTCTCTATTCATCTTCTTCAAATATATTCAAAAATGAGGTTCCAATTACTATTGATTGAATTAATCTTTTAGGCTCTAATAGTTCTGAATTTCTGATCAAATTTTTGAACGCCACAGAGACGTTCTGAGGTTGATCATCTGATTTGTCCTAACTACACATACCGGGAGTCAACAAATCTATTAGACAAGTTACTTCTACAATATTAGGTGTATCAAAATGAGTTTGATATAGGTCAATGAGATCTGAAGAGGATAGTTTTCACGTCCTGGTCCAGGGCCTACTCTATCTCACCAGAGTAGGCCCTGCCTGGTCACTTCCGGTTTTGCCCGAATTGGCTCCAGTTCTGAATTGATTTGATAGAACACATTATAGATTGTGATCTTAGGAGTTTTTACATCTACTTCATTATTTTTGTCACTCTAAATATTGCATCTAGTTGGCCATGATCGGACTATTAGTTGATAATTATTTTTAATTCAATAGAAAATAAACTAGTATCGTTAAAATCGTCAAAAAATACTGTCTGTCAAAAGAGGGTTGCCATTTGCAAATTTTATTCGAAACCTATTCCTATCTATCATATACCAATCACTATGGAACTTTGTGATTGATTTTTTTTTATATAACTTGAGGTCTTCAGATCATTCCACCTCCTGTCATGATCACCTAGATATGCAATTTTAATAGTGACTCTCAAAAATTGAGTAGGCGTGAAAACTTTTAGATATGTCACATTCTGATCCAGAATTGTCTCAGCAATCCAAAACTGTTACGGGGTGTTCCAATTGAAAATTCGTAACCCGAGCCATTTTCGGTAGAGCCGGAGGTGACCCGAAAGTAAGGAATATGGGAAAACTCTCCTCTTCAAATATTTTTTAACTATATGAAATATTATTTTGATACATCTTATATGTTAGATGTTATGACTTATTACTGATATAGGTTCTTTGACACCTGGTATGGTGAGATAATACTAACTCATGTGTTTATTTATGTAAATGATAAGATAAGATCTAAAGAAATCTGGAGGAATGAATGTCCCACTTCCTCTATTAACGTAGACAACATTTGAGGTATTTGATTAATATTAGAAATACTCATCCACAGTTCTTCTGACCACTTTTTTTTCTGCGTGTATGTATGCATACAATATGTGTGTCTAGAATATGGAATAAATTCATTTTTTCTCCAAGCGGCAGGGATAGTGGCTTCTTCCTGCCGCTTAACAGGCAGAAAAATTGTACTTTTGCTGCCTAGGCAGAAAAAGTTTGTTGCTATGCAACGTGCCAAGAAATTCTAATGAAATTAGTAATCAAAATTGACACTGACATTTACACGAAATTGGTTTTATATCATTTGAAGAAAAAATTCTATGTTTCACACGGCAGCAAATGTAGATTGACTGCCTTAGCTGAATTGAATGAACTATCAGCCGCGGCAGTCAATCTACTACTTTGCTGCCTAGTAAAACAAATCATTATTTGGCCAAACAATCTATTCCTGAGGAATCTCCTGGAACAGGTCGATTTTGATTTGATTTTGCCACATTTATACGGGGAAATTCAATATTTTCGCATTTTTTTCAATCAAGAAACATCTACTTCAAATCGGTATAACTCAGAATTGAGTGAAATGAATAAAATTTAATAAATAACAAAAAAGTTTATGAGTAACATGATGTACTGTTGAGGGCGCGTACTCTCAAAGTCAATGCAATTGATTTGTAATTTCGACGCGTTGCGACGCTCAGCTCTTAGTATGCGTTGAATTCTTTGTACTTTGAAAAATATTTTCTTGACTTCATCCATTGAGTACTTGTTAGGTACTGAAATTCAATATTTCCATCCGTTGACAAGATATTGGTGTGCGGAGTTTTAAGTGGAAAACCCTGTATATCCCATGTGGACGCCACTGGTAGCAATATTACAAAATCCTATGCATCAAAGAGTGCCTATGGGTGCTTAGTAGATGCTTGAGTCACTGGATGGTATTAGTTTGATAAGAGTTCGGACACAGAAATGACAACGGTTATGGTTTTTGAATGTTTAGATTTATAAAGTTACACACCTTGCATTGTGATAAGAGCACCATAGTCGTCCCGCGCTTTTTCATTCAAAAATTCTTTGAATTTGACAAATAATTTTATAAACGTCAGAATTGAAATAAAATTTCATAATTATAATACTTTCGAGATGAAAGCAGCTATGGAAATCACTTGCTGTGTAATAAATTGTGCCAATTCTGAAACAAATGGATATCATTTCATCGATTTTCCCATTTTCAAACAGAAGATTTCAAAATCTGATTGCGAGAATCTGCTGTTTCATCAATTTACAAAGCAGACGATTTCAAGAACAAAATTCCATTATTATCATCACACAAAATACAAAACAAAATAATCATGGAAAAAGGGGAAATGATCGCAAAATTACATTATGAAATTGAAAATTTGAAAACGAAACTCAGAAAAGCAAGTAAACTACAACGTGATATATTATTGAATGGCGTTTTTGGTGCCGACCGAATTCAACATTCAACAGTGAGAAGTAGATAGATATTTATGCATCAAGGGAATTATTATAAGGGCCTTAATTACGCTGGAGGTATCGTTTTGGAGATATTTTCTATATTGATCCATGTTACTTAACTCCTAGGGCGCTAAGTGAAATTGCTGAGAACTTTACAAAACCAAGTATTTGGTAGGTCTCGTCAAAATAAATTACTTTTTTTCTATAAAATCTTTATCAAACAATGATTTGTTCTCTGTATTTCAACACCCTGTATCTCCGAAATGAAGCATTTCCGGACACAAGCTTATATAGACTTAATTTCTTAAAATTGTCTCAGGAATACTTCACTGGAGTACAGTTTCACATACAATAAGGAATTATAGCTATAAGTTTATCCATATGTATATATTCTCTGATACCTATTAAAATGTTGTCACATGCATTTTTTTCATTTATATAATAGTTGCTCTTCTAGAAATGTATCACTATGAATTGAAGTGGGTGTTTGTACCCTATATCCATTGTCCATCTACGGCTATGATTGATTTGACAGAAAATATAACCTCTAAAATCGTATCTGACAATTAGGCGCTACTAGGGAAATTGAAAAGACGAAGAGCAGGATATATGTCTTATTCTTTTATTCACTTAAACCATTGTATTATAGAAAATAGAAAAGGACAAAAGTTCAGCTGTGTCCGAACTCTTGTAAACTCTTCTCCTCAAAATGAGCTAGGGAACCATATCCTAAATGTTTACCTATGAATTAAATCAAATGCATGCCATTCCTTGCAGACCAACAAACTTAGCATGCGTCCGAGACAGCCTCTGGGTCTGCTGTTCTACTTCTGTGGCAGCTCCGTGGTCTTTATGGTATTCGGGATCCTCCTGCTGGGCCTGTGGTCCGTCCTCTACCACGCCATCTTGCGTTCCCAGATGGTCCTCAAGCCCAACAACAAGGCCTTCGATATTTGGGTGAAGAATCCCGTGCCGCTCACCCTCAAGTTCCACATCTTCAACTGGACCAATCCGGAAGACATCCACAATGCCACAGTGAAACCAAGGTATATACAAAAAAAACAACAAAGAGGCAAGTTAGGGATGGATCCAGACAAGAATTCTTGTCTTGATGGTTATATTTTGTCTTGTGAAGAAATCAAGACATCTTGAAAATTCTTGAAATAGTTGACCTTCTATCACACGAGGTGTTAAGTCGACTGCGTTCTCAACTATACAGGGTGGCCCACGGTCGATGGTACCTTAGACGTATACGGAAAACGGTACATTGGATTATCCTGAAAATTTGGTTACTTTAATGAGCGTTTGTGATCTAACGATTCAAAATATTTTCAGCGAAACAGCGTTGCCACTTTTACCAAGAAGTAGCATCATCTTTGTTATTTCAAATGGAACACCCTGTGTTTTATTGCGTTTTTAGATTCTTCTCGAAGAGCTGATTCCATCGATGTATCACACTTGGGGTCTAGAGCAGGAATTATTACAAAGATATAGGGTGTTCAAAATCGTGATTTTTCAACTTCAGGATTTTTTTGTGTCGAAACTATTCATCATTGGTCAAAACGGCTTTCATGTCCCTATATTAACTTTTGATTAACTATCTACCAACATTTAATTGGAAAAAATACAGGATGGTCCAAGATTCAGAATTTTGATCACCCTGTATCTGTTCCAATTGAATGTCAGTAGATAGTGAATCAAATGTTAAGATAGGGACATGTGAGCCGTTTAGATCGATAATGAATAGTTTCGACACAAAAAATTCCTGAAATTGAAAAATCTCGATTTTGAACACCCAATATCTCTGTAATGATCCCTGCTAGGCCCCAAGTGTGATGCATTGATGAAATCAGCTCTTCGAGAAGAATCTAAAAACGCAATGAAATACAGGTTGTTCCGTTTGAAATAACAAAGATGATGCTACTTTTTGGTGAAAGTGGCAACGCTGCTTCGCTGAAAATATTTGGAATCGTTAGAGCACAAACGCTTATGAGAGTATCCAATTTTTCAGGATAATCCAATGTACCGTTTTCCGTATACGTCTAAGGTACCATCGACCGTGGGCCACCCTGTATAACTATGCTATCAAAAGGAAAACAACAAATATCCCAAAGTCGGTCGACCACACTTTATAAAAATATTGAAATATACATGTAACCGGTTTCGGCGCAACGGCCATCATCAGACAAAAAAGTATCAAAGTATAAAGCTAATAAGTAGCATTATGGAAAATCAAACATGAGGGCAACTCAAGTCGTCAACATCGAGGTCAACATACTCTGATTGCCCGTTGACGACTTGAGTTGCCCTGATCGGTGATCCCAAGGATCAGTGTTGGGCCCAATTCTGTATCTTTTACACATTCAAAACAATTCAAAAATAAATCTAATAGGAAGAATCCTGTAATTTTAGAAAACAACATAAATGAGGATTTGAAAAAAATGGGAGGATGGCTATACTCCAATATTCTTTCCCTTAATTCTATTAAGACCCAATATATAATTTTCCATCGAAGTAATAAACAAAATATTATCTATCTATCTATCTAATATCAGAATAAAAAATGAAAGATTGAAACAGACTGCCTGAAACTGAAAAGTTAACATGGGACATGCATATTGGCATGCTCAAAGGAAAATGTCTCCCATAGTTGGTGCCCTAAGAAAAAGGCCAGAACTATACTCTCACATCCTTAGTGAAATGAACTATCTCATAAATATTTTGGGTTCATGGTCCAAGAATAATTTTAACAAAATATCTGTTCTATATAAAAACACATCAAAATAACTGTATCGTTTTCCATATATGACACCCTTGATGGAAGTAAGATATGGTGTAATCACTGATGCGCTTTTGTTTCAGAAATTTTACTCGACCTCTCGAGAACAGTGAGAGCAATGGTTCCGTCGATCTTCTAATAGATGGCGACATTGCACACTTATGATATCTGTCAGTTTTGAAATTGTCGCAGATTTTTCGAATTCAGAGTTGATTAATCCCACTGGTACATATATTCCGCGTACCTAAAATGCCATTTGCCATTTTATTTTCACTCGTCACAGCAGCAATAGCAGCATCGCCATCTATTGGGACAATGTAGAATCAACGTCTCGCTTGTTGTGGACGTAGAGAAATCATAGAAGGCGGTCGAGTGATTTTTCTGAAATTTTCAATACGTAATAATGGCCGAATGGGCGCACCATATCTTACTTCCATCATTATGACACCCCATCAAATCAACTTTATGAAGAAACAAATACATTTTCTTCGGAAAAGCACTATCTGATGCATACCCTCAAAATTTCTTTTGATATTATATATCAACGAACACCTCAAATCTAACTTCATATTGGCAAGGAATTCTCAAATCCGTGAACATCATACTAGACAATATGACTTGTTTCATCTTGATTCTGCTAATTCTACACTTGGTCAAAAAAAGTTCACTCACGGAGCTATCTCAAAATTCAATAAATTACCTGATGATATCAAAAGTTGCACAAATATCACCCAATTCAAAATTGAAGTCGATAAAGAAACATCCTCTTGCAAAGAGAAAATCAAACATGAGTGAATGATTCCTCATTCACTAATTTTTTTCATCATGTCATAATGTACTTTTCATGAGCTTTTTGTTTTACTATTATTATTTTTGAATCTGTTGTTAATTTCAATATTTATGTTTTTCCATTGTAGATGTTAAATGTTAATAAATATATTTATTCATATTCAAAAACGTCAGATGAAAATTTTGTTCTCACAAAGGTTAGTAAAATTCATGTATCCTACGGACTGGACACATCTTATGTTCTTGATTCCCATTCACATCGAATTAATTTGTAGGTTAGCGCCGGGTAGGTTAATCTAATTTTCGGAATTATGGGATCTTGTTGAAGAGAGGAATTATAAGTATAGTATGTACCACGTGTATACTATTCTAGACACTTTTGTTCATTCAACACTCGCTGCACTCTGCTGATTAAAAAATTCGTTACTAAAAGGACTATTATAACACATGTTACATAATATATACTATTTCGTGAATCGTACGCGAAGAGATACACAGTTCACGGAGTTTTTGTAGATCATTGATTTCGATTTTGAGAACTGATTGTTGAAAAAAAATCTTTCAAATCATTTTCTGCTTGAAGGTTTGTGGAACTAGGACCTTATTATTACGTGGAGACCAAAGAGAAGACCAACATAACGTGGAATGCGAATGATACGATATCTTTCAAACATTTGAAAACATGGTGGTATGACCAGAGCAGAAGTAATGGAAGTCTTTCAGATCCTTTTACCACAATCAACCCCATTTCTCTGGTAAGTTTCAAAAATCTTCACTAAACTACATAAGAATTCATCATTCATTCATTCGACACATTGTTCTTCAATCTTTAAACTATACCTTGTCATCAGAAGCTTGAAGATTCACCCTATTTGAAAAAAGCTGTTCTGTTGTTTTAAATGTAACATTTCGTTATTCACATTGTTGAAGAGTTTTGGGGATATTCTGATCATGTGACGAGTATAACAATGGGCGTGTACACCTTGGTAGAACTTTTAACTCAAACCATGTTCAAAATGATCCTTTCATACATAAATAATGATTGACGACATAATTCGATCGAAAAATTTACTGGAATGTTCAATTTTTGGACATAAATAATAGTACCATCTGAAAACGGACCCTCTTATGACGTAGAAACCTCATCTCGCCATAGTTAAAAGAAAATACCAAACGCCGGACGGAGACTGAGGCAACTGATATATTAATTCGTTCAACTGTGATCTCGCGCTAATTCACTCTGCCAGAAATCATGTATCATTCATCTCTGTCTGGAATAGTCCTGTTTCAGTATTAGGGTTTTGACGTCACATCACCGCCTCGTTTTCAGAGGTCCGGAAAATCGGGGATTTCAATAATTTTTTATAAAACGTAGGGAGCTCACAGCGATAAACGGTTTGCGGTGGTGAGCTAGTTTGGGTGAGTTCCATCGAATTATGGAATATTTTTTGTGATATAAGCCCATTGCATAAAATCAAAACTGGATGATCGAAAATGTCCTTGAATCATGAAGACAAGTTGCTCACTAGACTAGAAAATGTCGCCAGAAGGAGTTTTTCTATGAAACACTGTAAACGTGTCAGGTTTTAGTCGGAATGAAATACCCAGTTTCCTGCGAATTTCAAAATATTCACAAGGGAAGAAAAGATTCAAATTTTGAAATGATATTTGTTACATTTATTATTGCAGCAAGTAATTTTTTGCATGCAATGGAACGTCGTAATAATATCAAATAATAAGTCAGACGCCAACAACGCATACTGACTTAGCACTGAGCAGTGAGCCTGCTTTCTACTAAAAACGGAATCAATCTAGAGTAGTCCAAATGGATACCTGCTTATCCATAGCGTGTATATGTCAAAGTTTGAGCTGGTCGACCAAGCCATTGGAAATCCTATCGGCCGGAAAATTTTTGCTACTTCTGTATAAATTTTCAGGAAACGATACTCGTTGAGTTTTCCATGTCATATCGTATTATGAAATTTCACGATACTTGCTCCGTAAGTATCTTTTTTTTTATGTTCTGGTTCCCACGAAGAGGGATATCCTTTAATGTTCTGAGAACATCGTGAGAACCAAGGGAAATGAGGTAGGAATTGCTGTTCACCTTGAATTTCTGGAGGTTACATGCCTCGGGAAACACCTTCCTTGGCAATATATTCCAGAGCCTCGCTGTTCGTTGGATGAACAAGTCTTTGGAAAGAGATATTCTGCAGGTCTTCAAAGTGACCACGAAGGGGTGCGAAGCCTCAACTCGACGGGTAAATCTCGCGGGGACAATAATTGTTGATATTCCAGAAGAGCATCGTCCATGTAAATATCTATAAAATAGAGCCAGATCGCCAACTTTTCTACGGTGTTCCAGAGAAGTGAGTGAGTTTGTGAGCGAGGCATCACCCACGAGCCCAATTGCCCTTTTTTGGACAGAATCCAACAGTTTCAGGGTATGTATGGGTGCTGCACTCCAAATATGGGAGCAGTATTCCAGGACAGGTCGGATCTGTGCCTTATAGATCATAAGCATGAAAAATGTGATTTTATAGGAAAAGAAGACTCTGGAAAAGCTCATGTTGTTATGCTATTTCTGCAGAGAATGTACAGTGTACAGAGTACATCAGAATAATGATGAGTGCAAGTCGACTATATTTTTATAATCCATATAGTCATGCTATAACGTGTTTGAAATAGTGGAAAAAGTCAGAGCATTATGTGGATATCTACATAATACTCAAGCACCCATGCATAGTACCCTGATATGATTATATGTATAGGTAAACAGTATGATTATAAAAAATTAGCAGATATACGATTATTGTCACTGAATATAGCCGGAAATCAAATGATGCTAATTGATAATTATGATTTTTCTAACAACGTTATACATAACAATATTATTCATCGAAAATCCTTGGTGTTGATTAATTCGAATTGAAAACACGATATAGTGTTCGTCCCGCATCATCAACAATTGAACAGTATCAATTTACTATAGCCCATACAGTGTGTCTCATTTCAAACGCTCTCCCCCCCCCCCTTATACAGGGTGTTCCTTAATGATATTCTAATATTCAAGGGACCAATTCTTCGACACATTTCAAGAATACAACTTCATATGAACATAATATGTCGTAAACGTCCTAACTTTTGAGATACAGGGTGTCGATGTTGAAAATATGCATAGATTTTTTATCCACTCTGTATGGCTTTCCGTGATGGGAAAATTCAATCTGCTATGTGACTGAATCGGTATACAAATTTCGAAATGTTACATACTGTGGTTATCCAGTAATGGATGTCCATGAAGGGTTTCAAAGAACAGGGACATCTGATCAGCATTTTTGCGAACGTAGTAATTATTTACTTGAAAACGGTGATTCAACATGAAATAGTATACATATCTTTCCATTTCGAATCGTGATTTTTCACCTACTGGAGCCATTGAAAGTTCCAAGAACTTTTCCCCTTCTCGTGGGGACCAGAACATAAATAAAAGTTCACACTCTTTTCGAGGCTGAAAATGAAAAAAACTAAGCCAATCCTGTTAATTTGGAATTAGGTGCTCTTTCACATATAACAATGATATGAAGTTAGTTTTCCTGCAAAAATAATCCTAATATGATTTCATAAAATTCGACTCCTTTTTACCTCAATAAAGAATCATGGCACTGGCCAAAAGGATGTTCGTCGCTGAAAAACAAATTATATTGATGGCTACTCATGTTGGTCCTTTGTGACTAATCGCACTACTGATAACTGAGATATAGAGGAAGAAGGCGTTTAAAGTGCGACAGGCTGTAGATAGCACACTCGCAAATAAACTACGCAACACTAATTTCGTCGCACCCCAAAATTTTTCCTGTGTTGAAATATGATTAACTTTTTTCTGCTTTGGACGATTTGAATTCGAATCATAATCTATGCTAGCCCAGTCCTGCAGCTATAATCTCGTAATTCGTTAAAACATGAGGTTCTTCACATAAAACCGCTACAGGGTGCTTACCTGGAACTGTGCAAAATTTCGGAAACCTCAAAAGTATCCCAAATGAAGAGATACATTTTTATTCTCAACTTTGACAGTACAGGCATGTAGATGATCACATTATCTTGGGATATTTCTCGAATTGTCCCATTATCTCTTTTAATTATAGAGTGATCTCAAAATATTAACTTTTTGGTTTTGCAGTCATAACTTTTTTCCTAGTCAGCCGATTTTTGAAAGCTCAGGCTCATTTCGAAGCTCAAACTTCAGAAGAAGAAATATGAAGATCAGAATTGATTCAAGATGAAAATTTTACAGTGTGTCTCACTTCTAATGGAAGCATTCCTGTATCTTTCGTAATTGTTGAGTTAGGATTGTGGAATTCGCAAGAGCGGTAAATATACTGAGAATACACACTATGACCAAGTGGAATCGTCTGCAGTTATATACACTGCTTGCCAACAGCGATGGAACCACCCACAAAAATGATATAAGGAGGCAAGATAGGTTGGAACTCTCTTCGGATTCAAAATAAGGACGTCTCTTCCGCTTCCTCCTGCAAATTTCAGAACCTTACCTCAATAATCACGTGAGATACGGGGGCGCTTCCATGAGAAGTAAGAAAAAATGTTATTCTTCTGAACTGAAAATTTCCTAGGAAAAATATGTAAAGTCAGTGAAGAGTGGACGTCCTGATTTCGAATCCGAAGTGAGTTTCAACCTATCTTGGCTACTAATAACATTGGGTGGTTCCATGGCTGTTGGCGAGCAGTGTTTATCACTGGAGATAACTCTACTTGGTCAAAGTGTTTATCTCCCGCTCCTGTAGGTTTCACAATCCTTACTCAACAATTACGAAACTGATCTTCATATCTCTTCATCTGTAGTTTCAGCTTCAAAATGGGATTTTAAAAACGGGTTGACAAGGAAAAAAGTTATGACTGCAAAACCAGAAAGTTAATTTCTTTGAGTTCACTCTGTGAGATATGAAGACAATTTGAAAAATGTCCCTAGGTAATCATATCATCTCCATGCCTCTGCTTCCGAAGGTAAAAAAAAGTTTTTGTACGTTTGGGATTCGTTTGAAAATCCCGAAATTTTTCACAGTTTCAGGTGACACCCTGTAGCGATTTCATATGAAGAACCTGATTATAGCTGAAGGACTGGGATAGCGAACAGTGTGATTCGAATTCAAATCGTCCGAAGCAGAAAAAAGTTATTTATATTTCAACAGAAACAAAATTTTGGGGTGCGACGAAATTTGTGTTGCGTAGTTTATATGAATATGTATGAATCACATATAATTTCTTTAGTTTCATAGTACTATTCTCTTGTTTCAAGAATAAAGTGAATTTGCCAGTTTGAAAAGTTGATTTTCTCATTGAAAACGATCTGACTCGATGAAAAATTTCACGAGGACTCTATTCAAATTTGTGTCCCTAATCAAATGAGTACAAAGTTTCTGAAATCTCACCAAATTTTCAAAAATGTCATGAGGACTCCGAATCTATACACATTTGTGTCTCTAATTCAACGGATAACAAAGTTACTGATGGTCCTGCAAATTTTCAAAAATTGTTGAATTTCTCGTCAAAACCTCTAGATCGACGTAAAATGTCACGAGGGTTCACAATCTGAACATATTTGTATCTGTAATCCAACGGACAAGAAAGTTCAATCTGTTCCCTGTCATGAATAAATGTTATTTGTTTCTAGGTAATAATGAATAAAGTTGATTGAATGACTTTATGTGAAATTCATAAGGATACAAATTATACGTACTAATTTAGTGTGAACAAAAATTATGAAGAACACGTGAGCTGTTTTCAAGTTATTCACATAATTATAAAATACAAGAAATGGAAACTACCTGAAAGGATATGCTCAAAATTTTCATGAGCAAAAAATTATGAGATTTTCGAAAGTGGTGAAGCTTACCGTCAGATCTTCAGCCATCACGTGAGACGAAAGCTGATTCTAAGATAATACCCATTATGTCAAAGGATAGTCCTGATTGTGCTTAATAATAGTACATTGTACTATTAGGATCAAATGTGACACTTTGTTTGACAAACGATATTTTCGTTTGCCGGACGCAGCGACCGAGAAACCGAGTACGCAAATTTTGTGAAAATATCAATATTTTGAGTCACATGTCAGTGTCGAAGCAGCTATTATATCAACTGTCATCCGATACGTTTTTGGTTCCTAGGAGTTAAACTTCAACTTTCGCTCCGAGACACTTAAAGTGTTTCCTAGCAAAATACATACTATTCATTTTATTGTGTCACTAAGAGACACGTCAACTTCAAGAAGTGATTTTGGACCGAAAATGGAGGACTTTTGAGCCAATAGGCGAGTGGACTGATAATGCATTATTGGCATTCAATTACTCCACTGAGTCGTTAGGAACTTAATAGTATATTACATAACAAGAGTTGAGAAGTGAGAGAGTTACACACGATGCCGCATAGCGGCGAGTGTGTAACTCCACAAGTTCGTAATTGCTTTACAACTCGAGAATTGTACTATACTTTTTTCTACGACTACACTATATTTCCTTCCGGATACTGCAGATATTGTATTAAGGCACAAATAACGAATACCAATATGAAACGTCTCCCGTCACTAAGCCAGCTGCATGAAAAGTTACAAATCACAATTCTTGTGTTTGTCTATTGATACATTGCATACCGAGACATTTTCCTCAATTCGAACTGAAATGGATCCGTTTTTCATATCTGAACAGCTTTATTAATAGGTAGCCAAAAACACATTGTATAAAACTTAACATTCATAATGGTTATTTATTTGTAACAGTGCAGCACGAGAGATTCTGTAATCGTTATTAAAAATAATAAAAATAAGTTCTCCAAGTGCGCTCTGAACCACCGACCTTTGGGTTCGGAGCCAGTGCTTCCAACAACTGTGCTACCACCATCTCTCTAGATGAGTAGATATTTTATAAATATAGTATCGAAGATGGATCTTTTTTAATGATTACTGTTATTTAAAGAAAAACGAATTCATCAATTCAATGTTGAGTATGTATGTTATTTGAAAAATTACCTTCAACAGGAACATTCTGCAGAAAGTAATTGATCTGTTCAGCATTAAGTATTTTTTATTTTTTACTTCGGAATCCATCCTTCCCTTTTGAGGAAATGGGATATGTTGCTATATTAATATTGTGATTGATATTTAGTGTTGATCGTAACATGGAATATATCGACCACAGTGATGATGATTTCATGAAATATGGTAATTCTTGAAAATATACTAAAAGGATATTTTCCGAAAATGACACGGTATTATTTCTAATTCTCCATTCCAGGAATTTTTGATGTGCTATTTCGTATCATTTACGAGACTTAGCGCGTAGCAACTCATTTTTAACCATTCTGGCTTTTTCCAACATTTCTGGTGGTGTAGAAATAATCTGCTCATCGTCATCGCTTGACATCATTTTTTTTTAACTGAAATTGAGGATTCTCAATGGAAAATAATCATATTTTCAAAATATATAACTTTCCTGATGCTTTCGGTTTCGGTGGATAACTGGATTGATTGATAAAAAGATAAGTACCTACCCACCTAGCTAGTGACATTAATGAAATTGTTAATTGTTATTGACACATCGCCTAAGCAACAAAACGAAGTCATCTATCAACATACCTATGAAAACCGTGCGATCGCTCTTTTTACGCACACGTGTGTAAGGAGAAGCTTACTGCCATTGTTTTGTGAACAATATCCATCACTTACAGTAGTAGTCGTAGGAAAATTGATTTTTGCAACACTTCTCACGGTTTTTGTATGTAAATAATGAGTCTGTGCGTTGTTCAAAATTGTTGAATTTTAGAGCTCATTTTGAACAAACCTTCATGGCCGCCATTTGGCAATACGTCGAATAAATGGTGACGTCGGTTTTTATATTGTTTCGTTATTGGTCAGATAATCTTCAATTTCACCACATGAAGCAAGATTGTCAAGGTACCAATTATAACCAACTTATCAAAAAGATGTTAGAGTCCTGTCGTTGAATAAAACATAATAGGAGGAACCCACGATATTATAGTTCATTCTTGACTTTCGAGCAACCAGCATGTTCAAATATTTCTTATTCTCCATGACAAAATATCATGTAAATGTTGGAGACTGGCAACATTGTGCTGAATGCTGAGAACCGACAAGACCACGCCCACAAGTCGTGCGCGGGGTTGCCACGTTCATCGATACAGATGTCCTCTAGTGTGAATTAATATAATTATTATCCACACAAATTCATTATGGGCAATAAGCCACAAATCATAACGGACCATTTTGAGACAATTGAATATTTATTGCTGATCAGGAATATTCCCAATACTCAATTGAGAGTTTATGAATTATTGAATAACTAATATTTCTGAAGTTCCCAATCGTATTTCAACACAGGGCAACTGTGCTTTGGTTTGCCCCAACTTACGAAATCGTGGCGTCAGTTATTACTGGCGGTCAATTTCTAGCTGTTTGAAAATTACCGTGGCATTTTTGATGATTTTAGCACCTAAAAATCGACCAAAATTTCTTGAAGAATATGAAATTGAAAGGTATTTGAGTGAAGATTCTTTCTAAGAAATAAAACAACAATAGTCCACTCGCCCATTGCAGAAAAAACATGTTTTCGGAGAATCGTTGTTAGCTGTATTGGTTGTACTATTGATATTTCTACAATTATGTCCGAGTCATTTCAAATGTCAATTTACTTTGAATTTTCCAGTCTGCAGCCTATACAGCCAGATACTGGAACTACGTAGTAAAAAGAGGCCTATCTTTTTCCCTCCAATCCATGGTACAGTCTATATCAGTCACCCATTCCGTAGGTGAAACACTCTTCGACGGATACGAAGATTCTTTGATGGCTGTGGCTGCTAAACTGCCTTTCCTGTCCAAAAATAACCTGCCCTTCTCGGATAAGTTTGGTTGGTTTTACGGTGTAAGTACATGTTGGTGAGAAGATAAATAAGCATCTTCCAGTTGAGAAGGAGTTGCTACCTGGAAAAGTTAGATATTCTGCATAAACGATTTGTAAAAGTAATAATAACTCAATAACTCACCTATCTAACAAATGCTCTCTCTTATAAAGCTGACACTCTTGATGTGAGGCAGCCCTTTATGAATCAAATAAATCTGCTCAGTTTTGGAAATAACGTATTGACGTGAATCTAGAACTATTTTGTTGAGGAGGGACGAAATAGGATCACATTTCAAGAAGTAGAAGGTTGGAGAATGGTTCTGAATTATTGTTGATAAAAATTAAAAAATCCATACTTTCTTAGAACCCTTGTATCTTCTCTTGATAAGTGGTTATCGACGTCAAACCATTGTGTTGGGAAGGGATCACACATCAATCGAAAACAGGATGAAGCTCAGTTTAACCAATCACCTTAGCCACAAGGCGTTAAGAAGTTAAGGCTGAAAGAGTAACTTTTGTTTCTCCTATAGTATAATGATCAAGCCATCAGCTTCTCTTAGGAACTGATATTGAGGCTAACATTCTGAAACATTGGTATACGATTTGGTCGAATTTCCACCATAATCGGACAAGAATTAAAAGAGTTACTTGGCTAAATTGTTGATGGCCGTTTTTTTACCTCATCTAATCAAACTGTGAGAAGAAATGAAGGTTTCTATTTACAGAAAGAAAGTTAGTGCCAACTCTTGGCACACCCTGAATAGCTGAAGAACTGAAAATAGGTCAAGTAGATTGGAAATGATTCAGAGCATATACCGAGTTAAAAAATGTCTAATGTGTGTCCTAAGTGAATCACCCTGTATAATAGAATTTATTTATTTTCTACAGAGGAATGGTTCCGAAGATTATGAAGGTGTTTATAATATGAATACAGGAGTTGATGGTCGACTAGGAGAGCTGAACTCTTGGAGAAACATGAACCAAAGTACATATTATCCAGGGAAATGCGGTGTCATAAACGTAAGGCACTTCATCATATCATAACACCCAGTATAATCACATCACCCTGTATCAGCATAACACCCTGCGTCATAATAACACCCTGTATCAACATTTATCAACATAACATTCTGTATTCTCTTGATGATAGTAATTTGTTGTAGGGAGGCTCAGCTGGGGAATTCTTTCCGACTGATCTCAAGAAAGACGAAGTGGTGAGGTTTTTTTCTTCAGACATGTGCAGATATTTGGAGTTAGAGTTTGAAGAAGAAGTCATCATCGGCGGATTGGTTGGATACAAATATTCAGCTGGAGAACGTTTCCTAGATAATGGCAAGTTTCAACAATCATCAAGCAGAAAACACAAGATTTATCAGACTCATTTCATTACCCACTTATATATTTTAATATACCAGTGAACACCAGATTCTCACTTCTTGGTAGAGACGACCTGAGCTTTATTTTATTTCAGGGACGAATATACCTGAAAACAAATGCTATTGTGATGGGAACTGCATGCCTTCTGGTGCCTTGAACGTTTCGCTTTGTAAGCACGGATCACCAGCATTCATATCTCTACCTCATTTTTACAAAGCAGACCCCTATTACATCAACTCTGTTGACGGATTGAATCCGAGTAAAGAGAAAAGCGAGTTCTTCATGATATTTGAACCAGTGAGTATTAGTAACCTGTTCAAAAACCTGCTGTTGTTCGCATGATTTGTTTTTGAGTCATTGCACATGACATTCAGACCAAGTTCTTATTTTTTATTGCGTTACATTATTTTCTTAATTGATACATGTTATACAAATGATATATAATTTAGTGCTTTCCTGAACTCAAAATATGATATTCCAATTAGAAACACCAAAAGAAACAAAAATGGTGACACAAAGAACATGTTTCAAATGAAGAATTTTCACATTGGAAGTCATATTATTTGTACGAAATGTAAAGAAAACTTATGTGCAAGGAAAAACATAGTTTAGGTATCAAGGACGAAACACTGTCTATTATAGTGGAGTCTGCAAATTGATAGCCGAGGCTACCAATCAGACAAGACAATAGACAGTTTTTCGCCTAGGTGCATATTAAATTTTTTCGTCGACCTCGAGCACTTATATCAACATCACGTTCCTATTCACACATGACATCTATGGGATTTCGTTAATAATTAATTTGACAACAGCAAATGACAGTTATCTTCAACTCACTCTCCGCGTGGAACAGAGTTGCCAATCAGATTTTTATTCCAGCAGTAAATTCCTTGTCAAGATTTCAGTAGTTCTCAATAGATCTGTTCAAGATCTATTTTATGCTATACAAATTCCAAGAAAGGATAATGAAATAAACCTATGACGTCAACTCATTATGTACTTTTACTAAAAAGAAAAATAGCCTATTTCCAACAAAATAAAGGGGAACAAAACAAACATTCTCATCGAAATAATACTCACAAATATCACAAAATACGAATACACAGGTACTTATAAGTTTTAAGTATATAAAAAACAGGAACGAACTGTAAAATAGAAGAACAAAAATACAAAACAAATGGAAAATATATACGTGAGAAACAAACGGTTATAACAGAGGTATATAAAAAATTGAATTTGATCAGAATCAGATAAAGTATTGTCCTTTTTTGGCTCATACATATAATTAGTTGGTACATATACGTACATTTATTACTCATTTTGTAAAATTGATTTGAACAGAGCTTGCCAAAATATCATGTAATTTATAATAAGTGTATGTGATCAACTGAAAATTATTAATAATATAGGTAATTATAATAATAGATAAAAATCACCATATTTTTCATTAGATCATGACATGTTTCAGTATATCAGTAGATCAATGTGCAAATCAGGAGTTCTACTGAAAATTCAGTAGAACTGGCATCCCTGCAGCAGACGAACAGTGTTTGCAAACGAAAAGTTAGTATCTGCGGACGTAAAGTACTTGCATTCGGAAATAGTCAGTTTTTCGTTCGGAAATTGGAACGTAAATTGTGATTTTTTCTAGAGGTCGACGAAAAACTATATTTTTGAATACCATAATAAATTGTATATCTAGTAACTTTCTATCAATCTTCTTCCTGCACATGAAACCATTTTACTTCTCCTGTGGGACATTACGAAACTCAAAATCCAGTAGTGGCACTGAAAGGGCTGAGAAAATATTATTTGATTGCTTTTCCTTTCAGAACACTGGGATACCATTGCAAGTGTCGGTTAAGCTTCAACTCAATCTACGCCTAGAACCAGTCGATGGGATTACGTAAGTGATGATGTGATGTGATGAATACTGTCTGTATATAGGTCAATCGAGAATGTGGAATATTTATTTCAATAAATTCAGTGGATTTCTTGATTTCCTTACCGAAAATAGTTTGAAATGAGAGAAAAAGAATGAAATGGGAGAAATTGATTTACATACCTAACGGAAAGGAGGCAATTGGAGAATATACAGGGTTTCCCGAAATTGCATAGGAAGGTTTCAACCACAGATTCAGATAACCAAACTTCATACATATATACCCGATTCAATAATGTTAAGAATTTTCGGAAATATTAATCAGGAACGTGGGAAATAGGAGGGGCTAGGGGACCTTTCCTTCCAACTTTTTTGTGTATGCAATTTCTGGCTGTTGGACCAGGAAATATGGAAATCTCAACATTCTCATTCATAAATGGTACTCTTGTTCAGTTTCGATGAGTATTCACCATTCTTGGGATGAATCGATTTCAAAATTCTGCTGCCTATAATAAATAAAAATAGTGCTTCTTTCTCAATAGCTTACCGAATTTTTCCAAAACTCATGGTTTGAGGGAGAATATCCCTTTTTTAACATCTACTACTGATGATTAATTCAAATTATGGAGGGTGCAATTAAAAAAATATATAGATTGGAGAATAATATGGTAGATACCTTATTAAGAAATGGTATACTATATTTATTACGCAGCAGACTTTTGTAATCGACTTATCTTTAAAATAGTGAGTTCTATCGAAACTAAACAAGAGTACAAACAAGTTTCGAGTAAAAAAAAATGAAATTCTCATATTTTCTAGGCAAACTGTCAAAATTTATGTAACCAAAGGAGTTCGCAAAAAAAGTGCGCCAAGCCACAGCTATTAGGTACGTCCCTGATCAAAAGGTCTGCAGATTCTAAACATTTTCAAATTGGGCATATAAACTTAGGCACATGTACAAAATTGTTTATTTTATCACAAAAGGCTTCGGAAAAAAAAACATCATCTCGGACTCCTCCTTACAGATGGCTATGACTCCCTAGGAGGCCATTTCTTGACCCTTGTTTACATACTCTGTTTTTACTATTTTCGTACCTAGAATCTGAGGTTGAAATCTCTCAATGTAATTTCGTGACACCCTGTACATGATTCAAAGAGCCTTAAAAATTCAAGACCCATAAAAAGTAATGCTTTATTTGATAGGGCTATCATTTCTTGACATTCGCCTATGGCTCATGCTGCAAACTTCATTATCGTAGGAAATCACTATCATTCCGTGCTCGTCAAAGAATATACTATTTCGTTTTATGTCCGTACTGCGCCTTCGTAGATATTTTTATAGGATAGACCTGAGGAATAGGAATATTTTCGATAGATGAAGTGAAAATTCAGGCTCTTCGAATACCTACGAGGCTAATTGTCTGTCTTCTATTTTTTTTTTCAGATTATATTCGGAAGTACCAACCATATACCTTCCAGTGCTGCATTTTGAGCAAGCCGTTATCATACCTGAAAACATGTTGTTCCTACTAAAACTACTAGTCAACTTCAAAGTGATATGTTACGCAGTAGGCATTCTGTGCGTGGTCCTAGGTAGCATAATATGTTTGTGCATATCCTACAAAATCTCCTCATCGAAATTTTTCAAAAAGAGGAAGCAGAACAAGGCTATAATTCAAGAGGAAATGCCTCTCAAACAGTGATATGAATGAAACCATGAGTTTCATATCTCAATGGGTGTCCTATCTTTATTAGATGAAATTACTCCATTCCATATTGAAACGGTCTATGTGAGATTTTGAATATGGTATAACGTATTATTTCGAATGACAACTGACTTCCTGTATATCTTGTATATATGTATATAATTTGTATTGTAATTGGCTATTATTCTGGAGCCACCTAGAATGTAATTTTCAAGAAAATTCTAATCGAAGACTGCATACATATATCTTAATTTTTATACATATTCAACTCACATACGTTCGAATATTTGTGTAATACACAATTTCCTATATTTTTTTATGTGATTTAGATTGTTAGTGTGCCTTTATATTAAATATATGATTTTTTAATTTGTTTTAAAAATAATTTATTGATTTACTTATGTCAGCTTCACTGAGGGGTGGACAAGTGGTTACCCTATTATTGTTGAGTTCGAAAAGTGAGTGCCATGAAAGCGTTGATATGATGTTTGAGAAAAAATTACTCAAGTGCTTATTTGAGATGTTCCTATTGTGAACATGGCTCTGTGAGTTTTGAACCTTTCTGGGATCTATCATTACCGATTCCAAACACAACGGGCAGACTTTCACAATGCTTAGACCTTCTCACCAGAGAGGAAATCTTGAACGGTGACGAGTCACCAACATGTTCAAAACGTAAGGAACGAAGGAATTTCACGAAGTCTTTGTTAATACATAAATTCCCTAATATACTAGTGATCCATTCAAAACGCTTCTCGCCATCAGAAATTTTCATGGAAATATAAACAGCAACAGCACCATCGATTTTCCTCTAGAAGATTTGGATATGGGTGATTATGCAGCAAATAATGAAATCTCTTGTAGATATAATCAATATGCAGTATCTAATTATAGTGGAACAACTTTGTCTGGACACTACACAGCATATTGATTAAACACCCAATCACTGATTTTTGAAACGAGTACAATGACTCGATTGTTTCACACAAATCATTTAAATCTATTGTGAATGGAGAAACATACATCCTCTTCTACGAGCAGAAGGTTGCAAGGACGCGGAACAAAGGAAATAAAGATGAGAGTATTGCTATCAACAATCAAGAAAATGATGAAAGGCTCAGTAGAGTGAAACAGATCACAAGAAATGAGATGTCAGTTCTACAGGTCGTCTCATCATTCGAATCGTCACCAAACCAGACCATCATCTCGCGAAAGAGTCTCAGATTGTCTTCCAAGGAGAGTTCTAATGATGGTGGAATAAAGAGTGGACAGGGTGATGAAGGAAAAAACGGCATACGCGAATGTTCCACCAAAACGTTCCACAAGAAATATGAAGAATGAAAAATGTTAGCTTAATAAAGTTCTATCGTTTTTTTGACATTGAAACTTGACCACCCTGTATAACCTGTCTGCCTTATTTTCATATTCAAGGAATGGAAATGACTGAACATGAATAAATTATTCGTTAGACAACGAGTAACTCACTATTTAAAACGCAGAAATATGTACGCATTTATATATAATGAGCTATTTGGTTCAAAAATTCATACCTAATTTAAACAGGGTAGCCAGCGAAAGTAATGCACCAGGATTTCACGTTCAGTTGATAAAAGAGAGAAAAGAATTTGAAAGTCGATGTTACATTTTCGGACATAACAGTGTCACGAAACATTTAAAATTCTTGTAAAAGACGAAAAACGGTTTATAACATAATTTTTTACATTCATCGAAAATGATTTTATCACAAAATAAGACATTGAGGATCTTATTAACGTTTTTATCACGTTGGTCAATTTTGAGGTTATCTTCTTCTTCCTCACGTTTGCTCGAGGAAGAATCATAGGTTCCTCCCTCCCCCCTCCTGACTTTCTACAAAAGGATCATTCCACCCACATACTTTCTGTAACCACAATATACACAGTATTGTATCAGTTCTTGAAATTCCAAAAAATTCACTTATATTATTACGAAATACATAAAATATATACCTGGAAGCCATTTTTCGAAAATGTAAAAATTATGATAGACTGATGGATAACCTATTTCCTGTTATGAGTGGTGATTGTTGATTTAGATACGACAAAAAAATGGTTGTTGATTCGGATACGACAAAAAAATTGGAGTGAATCAGAAGATTTCTGAATTATTTTGGTAAACTGAACAAATGAGTCAATAAATCTAGCTTCCAGCACATTTTGGGAACATCTACCTGCTCGGGGTAACCTATAGCCTTTCTAAAATACATTTCACTCGCTTTTTCTATTGTTCCTATTTTCATATCATTTCATATAGGTATCAATTGTAACAGACAGAGAACATGTAACTGAATTATTAATAATACAATAATGTGATGCAGTTATTGTCAGTCTTGAAGAAATCTCATTCTCAATTTGAAGGCATTTGACCTTGAATCCGGGTATTCGACTTTTGGCCACAGGCTAAAAGTCAGGTTGATGTGTGTGCAAGTCCAAAATTTTCTAATTACCTGATCTGGATCGAAATCCAATATTCAATGTGAAGTTTTAAAAGTGTGTGTGCGAAATATCAGGCTCCTTCATCTCTACGCCGGTATGGAGGCCGGATGATGACGGATTCATCGGATAAGAAGAGTACATACGTTCGAATCTTATGAACACTGATTACTCGGCTTCAGGCCATTGTGATAGACAACCGGTGTCTCATGTGGCGAGTCCATTTATAATATTATTACATAATCAAGTATTTATTCTTGAAAAAAATTACCTGATCTGGAGAGATTGTTACCGAAAGGAGACAGAAATCCAATGAACCTAAAGAGAAGAAGAAGAAGACCTTGAATCCCAACAAAATCTTCTTCTACGGCGCATTTTAACGATAGAAAATTTCAGTCTGAGTGTCTTGACCTCCTTATTCCTGGTATACATTGAAATGGAGTTGACATGTTGTCACTCTGGAATAAATCTAATTTTCAATTTTATTTGAACGCATTTGACCTTGAACTGCAAGAAAATTTCGCCTACGGAGCTTTTAAAAACCAAGCAGTTTGTCTGGGTTTCTTGATCCCCCCTGGGATACACTGAAATGACGCCTCTGGAGTTGTCTTCTGTCTCCATCAAGGGACGCTGATATAAATTCCTCAGAACATTTTACTTAATACTGTTCAATAATGATGTTTCCAATCAAGATTGTCATCCATGATAATACCAAGAAATGTTTATATGATGATCATCTATTATTCATTTTCCATTAGTTAGTATCGTGGGAATATATGGGAATGATTCTCCCTGAAAATAGTCCTGGTGGAGCCCATGGCCCACCCTGTATATCCACTTTTTGAATTGAAATATTTCCTAACATGCGTATCTGCATATTTACGCATTTTAAATATTGTTCTACTCTCTACTCGTTGTCATCGAACAACAACTTTCGTTGTCTAACCAATTATGAATACCACTCAGTGTCACTATGGGTTTCATCACCGGCATTGTATGTAAAATTTTGAAACGACAAAAGTGATATTTCGAAAATGACATGGTGATGTGCTCCGATCCAGATTATCGACATTACAGTGGAAAAAAGCGCGATTATTTCAGATCTACAAAGGATTTGAAACTGAAAAAACAATGGATTCAGATTATCAGGTATATTTAGATCTATATATCGTGCATTGAACCTATTCCGCAATTTTTTGTTTTGGTCTGCTATAGTATCAGCATGATCAGATAGAGGTTAGGTCAAGTTTTAATATCAGATTTTTTCCCAACCCAATATACAGGGTGTTTCCACGAAATTGGTACGATAAATGAAGCGGGGTGTATATATTTTTTCAATGTTTTAATGTCTAGGGAAATCGCGAAAATGGCTGATACTTCCGGCGCTTCTGACCTCGCCCAAAGCAAACGCTAGGGTTCGGCTTTCAGAAACATTAATGATTAACAAGAATTCTAGGAAAATTTTGAAATGCGATGTCTCCTAAAAACTTCTTCGTTTCACGTTTTCCATTTCTATCACCCATACATTTATCTCTTCGAATACGAAAATACAAGGTGTCAATTATATTCCCAGAACAGTCACTAGAGGTTCAGAAAGTATAATAATAATAATAATAATAATGATAACTCGTCTTTATTCATCCATAAAAGTATAAAAAGTGATATAGATGAAATGGCGAAGTGTCACCCAAGGGTGTTTTTCAACTTAACCATGATGTGTTAATTGATTATAAATACATTATAATATATAATATTGAATTACATTAATACTAGCTAAAACTATGATAAGCTATCTAGCTATGTATCAATTGTAATAAATAAACAATATGAATGGAGGTTCCAAAATAGCGGACGGGTTTTGTAATTATGATCCGATTCTATTCAAAATTGGTATTTGGGGTTTTTTGGAGTCGGAGATTATGATTCTTTCATCGAAATTAGGAAATTCAATATGAACCAATATGGCGGACGAGTTTTGTGATTATGATTCAATTCTATTACAAATATGGAGGTTTTCGAGGTCGGAGATTATGATTCCTTCATCAAAATTAGTATTTCAAGATGGCGGATCCAATATAACGAACGAGTTGTATAATTATGATCCGATTCTATCCAAAATTGGTATCTGAGAAATCACGGGGTCGGTTCCAATATCGCGAACGAATATTGTAATTATGATTCGACACTATTCAAAATTGGTATCTGTGGATTCTGTGGTCGAAGGTTTTGATTCTTTTGTCACAGTCCGAAAATTCAACATTCTATTTGAAATTGGTCTCTGGGGGTTTCCTGGGTCTGAGTTCTTCCGTTCTTTCGTCGAATTTTGGAAATTCAAGATGGTGGAAGCAATATGGCGAACGAGTTCCGTAATTATGATCTGATTTCATCCAAAATTTGTATCTAGGGGTTTCTGGGGTCGGAGATCATGGTTACTTGGTCAAAATGAGGAAATTCAAGATGGAGGATTAGATATGACGGACGAGTTTTGTAATTATGATCCGACTATATTAAAAATTTGTATCTGAGGGTTCCCGGGGTCGTCAAGATTGGTAAATTCAAGATTGCAGATCCAATTTGGCAAACGAGTCTCGTAATTATGATCCGATTCTATTCAAAATTTGTATCTGTGGTTTTCGGCGACGAAGGATATGAATCATTCATCATAATCGGGAGATTCAAGCGAACTAAAAAAGGATAGGCAAATAATAATCTGATAGTTCGACGATACAATTCACAAGTTACTCAGTTTACACTTCTATCGGCAGTCCCCAAAGACTGCAGCCTCTTTTTTTTTTTTATCAGTTTCCGATATACGACGTTAACACGACATCATGCGCGAAGTAGTGATAGTATGTATCCAAACTTTGACTTTCGAGTTGATACTCTTCAAGTCAGATGGCAATTCATCGAAAAGTTTAGGTCCAAGATAGGTGCGACATAGTATCAAAGCTTTAGTTCTGTTTCTTGTGTTATACTGGTGATTGGGATGTATCAGATTTGATTTATTCTTTAATTGTTTGAGCAGGATCATCTTGGCATGAAGTTGATATATATTCAATGTCAAGTTAAGCATATTAATACTCATGAACTACATTTTTGACGTTTGTAGAAAAAAATTTGTTTGCAACTTGGCTGCGCCTCGTTCAAAAAATCAGTTCTTGATCACCAAAGAAGGATTTTGCGCACCAGATACAAGAATAAAAATCATGAAATTAATTTGACGCTTTCTGAAATTCAATTAGTTGTTGTTCGCTAAGGTTATGGTTAGGCAACCAGTAGATCACTTTCCCAAATATGACCCATAATAGTAGGAGGGCTGGCTGCAAATTTTGACCGTCATCTGATGATAATGAAAAGATATTTTTCCCAAAGGCATGCGTAAAAACATGTAAAAATGGCACATTCCTTTACGGATATTTGCACATTATTTCACGATTTGATAACAAGATAAGAATTATGCCATCCGATACCAATTAATAGGTATAGATCTCAAAACCTACCTGTGCCACCTCTTAATCTGAGTCAAATCACAGCAATTCATTTGTTGACATCATTCCGAATATACTTCCGTGATGTGATAACGAGTTGAACCAAAAAGTAAATAAAAGAGAATGCTAATAATAGTTGAACTTGTATTACTCACGGAGTTAGGTCTACTGCGTTCTCAACTATACAGGGTGTTTCCGAAATTGGCGATGAATAAAATGAAATGTTCTATGAGACGTAATAACTTTCAACTATTATTGAATATCCGGCAACATTACATAATCCATTGATACTTCCGGTGCTTGTGAACTCGCCGAAAGCGAACACTTGGGTTGGGCTATTAACCTCTGATCAATGGTTTACCATGATTCCAGGCAAACTTTGATGCTCAAGATCTTTCAAAATATGTTTTTCCGATGAAAATGTATTCTTTCATTGATCGCTCCAATTTCGGAAACACCCTCTATAACTATTGGATACTGAAGTGGATGGCACGCCGCAAAGGTCATCCTATGCTTGTTTCGATATTCTTCTGAACGATTTCAGAACGGTTTCGCTCGTGCGCAATGGGCGAGTACTGTGTCCTCAGGGACCTAGATTACTTTTTACAACACTTCTCACACTTTTTTCATGTGAATAATGAGTCTATGCGTTGCTCGAAATTGTTGAATTTCGACGCTCTTTCCAAACGTACCGTCATGTCAACTATTTGGCGATACGTGGAATAAATGCACTGAGAGAAAACTTGAGTTATCATAATTGGAAATCTGATATCTGATTTTATAGATATTGGCGGTTACAACGTTGTTCCAGCATAGGGTTCCAGTTATCCCAATATTTTTCTACTCTAGTATATTCATCAAACAGTGGTAATTAGGTTATCTAATCATCATTGTTCGATGATATGCATTATTGAATCGTGCTTTGAATTACTGCAATGGAAATAAATAATATTCTATCCACACTCACTTTTCATGATCCATAGTTATTTTTTTCAAAAAACAAAAAATACGATTAGTCTCTGAATTGAAATATCTGGGTTTCTCTGGAAGTTTTTCTGACATTACTCATTGATTTTTTCGGAGAAATATCATTTATATGCATACTGACGAATTTATTAAGAAATGAGAAGAAACTTCCTCACAGAAACCCAGATATTTTCATTCAGAATCTCATCGATCATTTTGTTTTTCGAAATAAACCAATTTTAGGCCGTGAAAATTGGGTATTGAGAATACTATTACAATAAAACAGAATTTTGCTACATCACACACATTCACCCACAAGACACGACTCTTTCGATTCGGACGAAAGAAACCAATAATAATTGAATAATTGAAGACAGGCACCCATGACCGAGAACAGGAGTGAAAATGAACGCGACCTGTAGCTTTGTCGGCCCCAAAACTAATGAAAAACCAGAGCGAAATGATGAGCCGAATTACGATTGTCGAATGATTGTCTAATAACCGTCATACATGTGAATTGCTATAGTTATTCGTCAACGTACAATGCTAGAAACCCAAACAGCTATGATTATTGGGACGAACATTATCTGAATTCACCAATAAGCATAATTCACGAAACGAGCTGTGTCAATAAAAAATCTAAATAGACTAGAATTTATAAAATTCTCATAATGTCATAACACACCTGCGTTACGATGGTAGCAAATGTCCATTCGAGGGTATTACAAATGGTTTAAGAAAGCGATTTTTATAATTACAGAATGGAGAGAATACTGTTGTTATAATAAAGTGATCAGGAATAGGAGATTTCTTTATAATGGTTATTACAATCAGAGCTGGTAGATATTTTTAATATCCAGTTTCCTCAGTGTGGTGACGCTTTTATGCTGAAGCAAGGTTGTCAAGTCCACGATTATAATCAAGTTGTCAAAAAGATGTAAGAGTCTAATAATTTCTAATACTCCATAACAAAATCACATGTGAATGTTGGAGACTTGGCAACATTGTGCTGAACGCTAAGAAGGGACAAGACCACGCCCACAAGTCGTGCGCGCGGTGTTGTCACGTTCTCCGCATCAAAGGTCCTCTAGTGTGATTTAACTTAATTAGTATTTACACAAAAGCATTATAAGAAATAAGCCACGAATCATGAAGGTTCATTTTGAGACAATTGATTCGAATGTATTGTTAAATAACTGCTGAATAACTGATTATTCTGAAATTCCCAATCGTATTTCAACACATGGTAACTGGGCTATGGTCTGCCCCTACTCGCGGTAAATATTCATCCGTTTGAAAATTACCGTGGCATTATTGATGATTTTAGCACATAAAAATCGACCAAATTTGAGTGAAGATTCTATTTGAGGAATAAAAAAAAATTAGTCCACTCGCCTATTGTGTTTTCGATCTGTTTCCGTAGCTGAACGAAGCGATTGCGCATGAACAGAACGATCTAGGAAGGTTTTGATATAAATCAAAACGAACCACCCGGTTACTTGTATGAATTCAAATTCAAATTCAAATTCAAATTCCAATTCGTACTTGCAACAGCAGCCATTTGTAACATGGATATACACTTCATGTTTAGCATTTACATTTAGTATGCAAACATATAGACAATACACTCACTCAAAGGAAGGTTGTCAGTTGAATATAGAAAAATAAAGATACATACAGTGTGACCCACTTTTA